GCCCGAACCAGAGGGCAATTAAAAAATGCTCAGTGGAAGTGAGAAGCAGGGCAGGAATGGTCAGGCAAAAACGTGGCACAGTCCAGCTTGATGCACAACTTGTAAGACAGGTTTTTCTTTGCTAAGGTCTGAGGCGCAGCGTGGCTTCCATCAACACGCTAAATCAGTGTCTACGCTCATAACACGGCTCAATTTATCATTTGGCTTTCCCTCTCATTATTCTGAGCCCGTATGTGATTGAAGGCAGTGCCTCACCAGTACAGTACCAGCACATGAGTTACCTTACTTCCATTGAGTACCACCACCTCTGGTGAGCATGGCTGTACCCACCACTGAGGTCACCAGTCTGGAACCTCAGTACGGGTTTCCAATGGGTAGATCAGTAAAAGTTGTTAATAATTGCCTAAAAAATAACTACTTCGATGCTTTGCTGCATATCCCCCAAACCACCCGTGGCAAGTTATGGTTGGGTTACAGTTAGGGGTTAGGGTTAGGGTTTTTGGACTTTTGGTCTCCATTGTAAACACATAGCTTAACTCTAACTGAAAGTGTCCTTGTTAAAAAGGATAAAAAACAGCTTTAGGTTATGTTGGTGTTCAGGTTTTGCTGAATTAAGAGTTACTTGCACCATTTTTGGTCTATTCAGGCACTGATTGGTTTTTAAGATTTGATGTTAAATTGCAGCAGAGGAAGTGACATAGCTGCCTGGGAATGGTGTTATGTTGGAAGGAATTTATTAAGAATATGAAACTCCTCTGCCTTTTTGAAATTCCAGGATAGAAGCGATATGATGCAGAAAAAAAAGATAAACACAAAATAGTGTGGGGGGGGAAACAAATGAACGCGATTACACAAGGCTTCAGGGTCGGGACACATAAGCAACACTTTTGTTGTGATGGAGGCAGGCAATCCTGCCAACAACCACAACCGCTGTCGTTTTATTAAAGTATTTGTAGCTGGTGCACCACTGGTCCTGAGATTCAGCCTCCAGGGTCCAGACCGCTGCTTATTTTTTATTCTACCAGGCAGTTTTCATTCTAGACGCCTAATCAGAGACTTATTTGGACTGGGACGCCAGGTGAATTTAAACTAGCAGGGAAAAAAACACAGCAGCACTTTGGACCCCGAGGAATGGATGGAGCATTACTGCTGTAGACTGTGTCACAGACATTGATTTTGTCCCAGGACTAAACGCCTCTCCGAGCTGAAGGCAACAACTTTACTAGCATCTAACAAACTAATCCTGCAGGAGAAGGGCCTTTAGCCTTAGGCTTTAGGCCTTGAGCTATCTGATTGCAAAAAGGGACATTTGAAGCATGTGTGTACCTGACTGCGGTCGGCCAGACAGATATCTGGGGATAAAATCTGGTTTCTCCAGCTCCTCCTAGTGCTTCTAATGGCATTTATAAGGATTTCTGAAAAAAGAAACAACCAATCAGAGCTGTTCAGACGCAGCAGATTGTTGCAGATGCCATAAAGAGCACTAGGACGGACCAGATTTTTTTCACATATAATCTTATCTTATTTTTTTTTTTTAAGTTACTTGCAACAGCTTTAAAACCCATTCTGTTTTCTAAATGTTAAAAGGATGTTGCAGCAATTCATTATTGTACTTCCATAAAGTCAGGGGACCCATGACAGAAATAATAATATTCAAACTCAATGCAGCACAGGCAGAGATAACTGGACTTTTACAGGCTGTACATCCCACTGAATGTCCATGCCTAGAAAATGCCCACGTCTTACAAACCTCCGCACTGTAACACACACAGGCATCCTGTTGAAAACATTTTGTCCAAAGAAAAGACAACTCAGATGACATCATCGAGGGTATTGTTTCATACTTGAGAAAGTTCCACAGCCATAGAAGACAACCGACAGCCTTTACCAGCTGAGTCGTTCTCTGTGAGGAGCAAACTGATCTGGATGTAGAATCTGTGGAGCGGCCCTTTAACAAAAGACTCAGACAACTCTGGACAACAGGGACACATAAAGATAGTAGAAGTGTTCAATCACAAATATCATGTTATTCCCTTCATTACACAGCCGACAGTACGCAGATGTCAGGACACAAATGTTGCATGGTCAGCGCCCTTCAGTCACGAGGTTCCCTGAGACACAAACACACCGAGACTCAGTGGATCTAAAGTCAGACAGGAGACCTCGGGACGAACCCTAACCTCACTCAGACTCTCTTTACTGTCTCCACAGCGAAAACCAGATCAGATCAGTATCACATTATAATGTGAAAACTTCATTGTTATAACAATTCATTTAGTTATAACACTGAACTACTAATAACATATATACTATTTATCTTGTTATAACATGAAACATTTCACGTTATAACAAGATAAATAATACAGCGTTATAACAAGAAAGGTTTCTTGTTATAATGGGATAACTTTGTTCAGTATGCTGAAAAACATTTAACTTTTCACATTTGACCGTGACACTGGCACTAAAACACTGATATACAAATAAAGACCTGGGACTGAATGCACGTTCACTCCTGGAGGGACTGATCAATTCCCATCCCTGAAAAAACACATCAGATCCACATTATTATTCCAAGCAGACTGTTTGCATTAATGTCTGAATACATGTCTGGAGGGGACCTGTTACTCTGGGAGACAGTGCAGAAGGACACATTTATTCTTGAGTTCATCCCCATGTAGAAATAAGTGACAGTGATAATGTGCCCCCCCCCCCTCTCACACACACACGCAAACACATCTCTGCTGCTTTAGTCCTGTCACTTTTCTTTTCGTGTAGTAGCCTAATGTCCTAGCTGCGATGCTAATGTATTACATTATGCTTGTGTGCAGTTTTGTTGGGAGTTGAAGAATGTATAACCCAGCTGCTCTCCTGATGGGTTCTGCACTCTTTACATCATGCTACTTGCAATGTTGGTATTCTCAGTTGGGTTCCCAAAATGTCAGCACTAAGGCCATCTCAGTCCAGCTGATAAATGGACTAAGGTGGACTTCAGTCTGAATACGTCTTTGGGAACCCAACACAGGTGTTGGCCCTTTTGAGAAAGCTCTGCTAGCTTTTAAATTGTCACACCACAGTTAAGTGAACTGGATCTGTCACCTTTTTAAAATCCAGCTACTTAAAGATCTGCAGTCCTTCAGATGTCATGACTAGCTATGGCTAGCAGTGGTCAAGCCATTCCACAGGGCCTGCACCTTGCTTAGTATCAGTAGGAGGAGGAAACATTCTTCCTCATCTCGCCTTCTCTGTGTCCTCCTTGTCCTGTCATATGTGTATCTCTCTCCTACAGAGTACTGTATAAACATGACCTTCAAGACCAATCCCTTAGAGCAGGCCTTCAGAAGGCCCAATGTCAATCTGCGCTCCAACCCCTTTACTAATCAGTACTGGACCACTGTCAGCCACACGCTGCCAGCCCTGCTCTATGACAGCTATCTCATGCTGACACGCCGCAAGCCCCGGTAAGGTTGCAAAACTGCCCCCCTCCTGCACTCTTCCCCCCTTGCCAGTCAGTCCCCACCTTTCCCACAAACCCACCCTTCCTCACTGTGTTTTTTGTTTAGTTTTTTCACTGACTGGTTAAATGGGATGGTGGGGACAAGGAAGGGTCCAGGGAAAGAAATATTTGCTGTGTCTTTACTTGACCTTATGGCATCAGCTGGACTTTGTTAGTACAGAGTCATGACAACCATATTTGACCCCCTTCAGAGCACGTTTTTTTTCTTCTTTTTTTTTAAACTATAATTTATTTATTTTTTTATTCAAAGAAGACTTGTCTTTTTGTGAATCATGCTTGGAACATGACATCCATTATTTTCATCCCCCCACTTCACCCAATCGCGGAAAATCCTAAGGCACCATTGGACTTCTTGGTCATTTAAAAAAAAAGTTGTCCAGTCGGGGGCTGATCTCGTCCCGCTGAATACAACCCCTATGCATGTTAATTGATTGGTATCCACCTTGATGTGTTGACTACAAGCCGCAGGTATTTTAGACCTTAGATGTTGCGCAGTGCCAAGCATTCTTCCACAATGTTTTTATTGGCTGAGTATCACACAGTATTTGGCTGTCTGAAATTAATTTGGCTTAGTAGCTAACTCAGATTGTAGGAGTGTGATTTGATCCTAGTTGGGTATGTCACCAGCTCTAAGTAATGGTTATCTCTGTCTCTATGTGCTGATCAACCATGCATGTCTGTTACGCCCTCTGAATCATTCACTTTCACAGGAGGAATCTGAGTCATCTTAATCTGCCTCAATATGTGGAAATGTTTATTTTCATCCAAAATATAACATGCCAATCATTGGTTTAAGCTTTTCTTTTTATTTATTTATAACAGTTTGAAATAGTTGGAGCCATGCAATTCAAATCCTGATAAATATTTACTTAATTTTGCTGAATAACACATAATGTGCAGTTTAAAGACTCAGAGACCCCCTTTCAACCCTCACAATAACGGGCACTGCTGTTTTTACATTCCCACCACCAATTCTCACACTAATTACCACAGCATTTTAATTGGTTTTGAATGATCATCACTTAAATTATGATGCCCTAACTCTGAACTAACACTGAAATGAAGTGTATTAACTGGATTCACTTGTGTTAACAGGAGGACACTGTTATGTACACAGGATATCTGAGTCTCCGGAATTTTACTTGTGTTATTTTGAGTAAAATATTGAATCTGTCTGACCTAAATTTGGTTCATGGGTCCCTTTTGAAAGGGTGTTGTCTGTCCTCCTGGTGTGCACAGAGATTACATCTAGTTAGTCCTCAGCTGATCTGTATCAGTCACTGTCCCCAGGGGAGACCTGACTACTTACAGTGCTATAACAAAGTTTGGACAGCCTCTCTGGAAAATTTGTAAAGTGAATCATTGTATAATAACATTTCTAGACCTAATCTGTAGAACGTTCTTGGTGTGAACTGCTGTTTGCCTTTTTAGGATGTTAATGAAATCCTAAAATAAAAATTGAACTGGAACTGACGTTGCATATTGTAGCTGTCCAATGAAAACCATGCATTTCCGATTTTCATTTTTTAATTAAGATTAAATTTAAGATTATGGTTTTCACAGGACAGCGATTCAAGTTGTAGGCACAAGTTTAGATCACTGAAGATCAAGAGGTGTACAAACACATAGCACTGTACAACTCAAATTGTCGCATACATATGTTGCACCCAAATCTGCTTAATCAAATCCTTACCTGTAGACTGTAAAGAACTCGTATACAAGACCTTTGCTACAAAGGCACATTGTGTTACTTTTTCTTTAACTTCTGCCTCTGTTCTTCCATGGAACCCTGTCCTGCCCCTCATTCGTTATTCCTCCTCTCTGTCATCATTCACTCTTCTCTCATATTTCCACCCCCTCCCTCTGTCCATCCGACCTCTCTACTCCACTTCTTTACCTGCCACACTCCTCCTCCTGCATCGTCCCTCTTCTATGTGTTGGCCCTACACCACCATCACCTTCTGTCCATTTCAATGTTATTCTTTCCTCATCTTCCTGCCTCCCTTTTCCACCTTTCCTTTCGCGGCTCATTTATCATAGGATGATGAAGACGATTACTCGCCTCCACAAAGCCATGATGGTCCTGGAGTATTTCACCAGTCACTCCTGGGTGTGGAACACCGACAATGTCACCATGCTGATGGCCCAGATGAGCCCCGAGGATAAGAAGGTAGGGAGGACACAGATGACAGTAATCTTGTTATTTGAAACAAGATTGGTCTCTTTCACGTCATTCAAATTTTGTCCCTCAATGTCTGCCCCCACCACACAACACAGACCTATATACACACACACTGCAGAGATGGCAGACAGTTTTAACACTGCGTTAATGTCTTATAGTAGGCTACAATAGAGAATCATTTGTTCACTGGTGACGTCAGTTTGTAGTGAACAGAGACGTCGTTCAGGATGAAGGAATCTGCAATTGTGGAGGGCGTGTTGGTGAAGGGAAAGATTTTTACTTTATGTCCTGTTTACACATTAGACCCATTGTTCCTGTACTATGAGGCACTGACGTTTTGTCTTTGTTCTCTTTACCGAAGCATATCCGATGACAAAATAAGCTAATACTATATTACATTAGTAAGTCTAGAATAGTGCTAAACATATTTCATACTGAAAATGTAACTCTTGAAATGAGTGTTAATTCTGCACTGCCTTTCTCCCACCACAAAAAGCTAAAGGCTGCTCTGGGACTGAGAACCTAAATTCCCTGGGTGCTGACTAAAAGGCAGACTCTGCCTCCAAAGCTACTAATAGTGACTCCACCTCACTGATCCAAACAGGAGCCATGTGCCACTGTGCCTTCCTCATCTCTCAGCTAATGATCAACCTTTATTCTCCCCGAATTGTGGACAGCACCCACTGGGGGTTAAATTAGGCCAAAGCCAGCTGAAGCTCTGCTCTGCCAGCCCAATTTGCAGTCTGCTACAGCTCAGTGCAGCTCTTTGCTTTGGTATCTTAAATTCCCATGCAGACAAATGATTGATTTTTTTATTTTTTTTATTTTTTTCCTCCCCATTTATCCGCTGTATTGTGCCTACAAATTTTTTTTTCTTGACATGTCACAGTAGGAAACGTGCAGGTGTAAATTATGATGCCAATGATGGCTGAATTCCATTTAGCTGCTGACATGTTAATAGTAACCCCCATGCTTTTCTTACTGTGAAAAGTAAACATGTCTGCTGTAAGACAAAGGCTGCAAAATAGGCACATAATTACAATTTCTTGTTTTTCTGTAATAAATGCTGGCTAATGACTTTTTAAAATGTCAGTTTGTTGATGATAGAGCAGATATAGTGGGAGGCCAATATTATGCTCCAGTATTGTCTAATCCAGATACAGTACATCAGTGACATGTCAGCAGATACACAAATATTAAAACTATTGGATGCATTGCTGTAACATTCATGGTCCCCAGAGGTTGAAGCCTATAGACTTCATCTGACTTCTAGCGTAGCGACAAATAAATTTTGTTCCAATACTTGTTTTATGATTCAAAAACCTAAAGCTAAACTAAGATTGTAAATCTAGTAAATGTATCTGCTCAGCACCAGAATGTTGGCATTGTCACTGTGCATGCTAACATTAGCATTTGGCTCAAAGCACTGCTGTGCTCGGGTATAGCCTCACAGAGTTGCTAGCATGGCTGGAGACTTTTGTTTTTATTGCTTTGTAGTGTTTTCTTATATTTACTGTTTTACTTTTGTTTTGCCTTGATATTAATCTTTGTTTATAATCTTTTTTTTACTTCTCTATACTCCCAAATATCTTTTGGTACCCCAATCACCAACTCGACAAGAAGATTTTTAAATCAGTTAAATCTTAGATAATAAATGTCATTGCTGAAGACTACACTTCTTGTCAGTCACTGAAAAGTTGACATTTAGTTAATGAAGTTTACTGAAAGTTTCTGTTGTGTTTTTTTTTTTTTCTGTCCTCACTGTAGATGTTTAATTTTGATGTGCGTCAGCTACACTGGGCAGAGTACATGGAAAGTTACTGCATGGGCACCAAAAAATACGTCCTCAACGAAGAGCTGTCGGGCCTGCCTGCTGCACGCAAACACCTTAACAAGTAAGTCTGTGGAATCACATCTGGAATTCTGCCAACAAATACAGACACAGGAAGAAATGCTGTATGTGCCGAGCTCTTATAGACAGCTGCCGTTCTCTTGTAGAGAGTAGGCGGCTTTCATTTCATCTAGGTCACCATACAGTACAGCTCTGCATTGGCACTTAAATGTCCTTTGGATTTTCAACTACTTCAGTTCATCCTTCCATTAACTACTGATGTCTTTCACATTTGTCAGGAATATGAGCGGTCAAAGCCAAATTGTTCTGGAGTGGATAGTCACAGTGGCAGTAATCCTCTCAGCTTTAACAAAGCTCGTGAATAATTCAGCATGCAAAAATGTTCAAGGAATTAAAAGGAACAGGCATTATTTAAAAATGGCACATCTAACATCTGTGAGAACTAAAGAGATAACTGGGCTATGGTTTGTTTTTTGTTCAGAAAAAACTATTAAACTGTGCGAGCCGACATGTATTTTTTCTGTCGAATCTTTAGTTTTTCTTTTTAGCTGCGTCATTGTTCACAGTGCGACAGCATGGCAGGCTGTAAACTTTACAAAGTGACTTTGAAAATGACCAAAAATCACTGTGATGGAGGCAGAGACAAGTGTTAATAATAGAACGCTGGACAGCAGGCAGTGGCTGCTCTTACACTCTGCTTTCGGTGCTGACTGTCAGTGAAGTTTGCTTTTGAACCAGACAGTGGTACAACTGTCTACTGCCATCTTCTATGACTCTGCAGCTGTAACATCTCAGCGCACCATGGAGCGTCTCTTCTGCTGAACAATAAGCAGGATGCACACTTTTACTATGAATCTGATGTTTTCACATCACAGAGGAGGAAGAACAGCAAATAAAGTGTGGGGTAGGCTAAAAACTCATGTTGCTGCTTTTCATGTTTAGTCTAGTGCTGGTAAACGTAACAAATAGTTGAATATTTGTATCAAACAGCCAAATCTGATTCGACTGACAAACTTCTGAATTGGGTACATCCCTAAAGCAATTTTTCTCACTTCATACCTTTGCCATGGCAAAACCCAAAATTGGATTCCTCCTTTTGAAGTCTACGATTTGTCTCATTTGTGTGTCTGTTTCCCAGGCTGAGGAACATCCGCTACACCTTCAACACCATCCTGGTGGTGTTCATCTGGCGTGTCTTCATCGCCCGGTCCCAGATGGCCAGAAACATCTGGTACTTCGTGGTGAGCCTCTGCTTCAAATTCCTCTCCTACTTCAGAGCTTCCTCCACAATGAGATAATGAGCCCGGGGCGGGGCCGCAGGGGGGCCAGGCGGAGGGGCAAAGAAATGGAGGAACCGGCTGTGGATGATGAGAGATGCCCAAACCCCTAAAATGCTACCATGCTGTCTGTCTGTGGCCCCATGTTTGCCCTGATTCTCAAGGATCACATGGAACCATTAAACCCGTGAACACAGACAGAGCTACTGGAGGAGCCTGGAGTCCACAGCTGTCTAAATATTGCATATTTCAGATCTGTCTAGCATTTAATAAAACACAAGGCATGCATTTATCTTGCCCAGGCTAACAACCCTTGGACTAGCTAAAGAAGCAGGACCACACACACCCTCTATTCTGTTTCCACTCAATCCAGCCCCCCTTTGGTGCCAGATTGACTCCTGCAGTCTTCAAGCTCCAGTGCACCCTAACCTGCTCTGTCATCCGTCTGCTCGCCTGGCTGCCTGCCTGCAAAACAAAGCTATGCATTGGATGATGCTCTGCTGCAACAATCCTCAGCTGGTTTTGAGTCAGTCCAGGCTTCTGTATATGTAATCTTTCATTGAAGAATAACCACTCCAAGTGCTGTGTCAGTTATATTTCTCTGCTGTCACCTGAAAACATAACTCACAATTTTTTGTTTTCCTTTTTTTCTTCCTCCCATGAGGTTTGTGTGGTTCTTGTCAGTGAGGCTTAATAAAATGTCCTAAAAAGCCAAAACAAAAATGTCCAATAAGCAGGGTTTCCTAGGGTTTTCATCTGACGGCAGCATTTGCTTGGCAAAGCATAAGCTTCACTCAGCTTCTGGGGCAGTGGAGCTGGTTGTACACATGTGGTTGTAAGCAGCTGAAGGATGGTTCTGTATGAGTCTGTGGAGTCTGTGAAGGCTTGTTCAGAGACAGGCTGGTCGAGGAATCATTGTTAAAATTCTGTCTTTTCCTTGTAACCCCAAGACCAAAGCCATTTCAACCAATGTGACAGTTGCACTGACAGCTTGGTGTTAAGGGAAAGTTGACATTGCAGGGGTTTTTGTGGCAGGGGTGGCTCGCTTCTACTGACCCATGGCCAGCCAAGAGTGGCTGTGTTTCACGGTTTCTGCTTGTCAAAGGCACACAGTCAATACCAACAATGCAGTCCTGTGTGTCCCCAGTGAACGGCAGTGGCTAGTTCCCTAATTATGACCAAGCACAATGTAGATTGTAATACGACAGCTTTGTCCAGTGCCTACAAACTGATCATTCTTGCATCAGCAGATCTTGCAAATCAAGCTTCTTCTTCTACAGGTTCCTTTTCGTCATATGTGACAGTCTTAAAGCTATTTTTGCCAAAATACCTCTTAGCTAACAGACTCGTAGCTCAGTAGAGGATGAGACAGATGGAATTGGAGGAGAAATTTTGTCACTTATGGCTTTTTCTCCATTATGCTTGAGAATTTAAATGCTCTCAGCACTGTTACACATATTGAGTCATGGATATATAATGTAGGTGATCATTGGTCTTTGTTAGTACACTACTTTTCAGGTAGCTCTGACTGTAGCTCACCATCTTTGTGAAAGCTTTGGTTTACTTGACTTCAGTCATTTTCCTCTCAAGTACTTTTATAGGTCATATTTGTCATGTTACTTTATTATCTTAGATGCTTCTGTAAATACATGTATGCAGGACTCGTCATGTGCTTGTGCTGTTTATAACCTGCTGTTGGACCATTCTGTTGCCTTCATCATGCGACATAAGAAATTTGCCTTTTCAGACCAGAAATGTTGACTTGTCACAGAACTGGCCACATAATCTAAGGCTGCATTTTTCCAGTTTCTCTAGATTTTTTCATAAGAATTAACCCTCATTGCCATATTAAGTCTTCAGTTAACATACCTGAGGTTTACCTGTGCACTTGATATTTCGTCTGTTACCTGTTTCTTCAGCACACTATAATGTTTGAAGGTGTGTGTGTGTGTGTGTGTGTGTGTGTGTCCGTCCATGTCTGTGTGTGTGTGTGCTGATCTTTGGTTGTGCTTGCATGTGTCCTCTGAGTGTCTTAGGCCATAGCAACTTCAAACACCTACGTGTACGTCCTGTGAATGTCCTGGATTCATTAAGGAATGTGATTTTGGTCTTTTTCACACTCCCAGCATGAGCCATTTTACATAGGATCATGTGACCTGGTGGAAAGATGCACCCTTTTGGAAAGATGTGCAAGTGTGAATCGTGCCTGAACTTTTTTTCAATATTCTAACAATGTGAAAAGAGAGCAATCAGATCTACGTTTTCTAATTATATTGTGTACAGCTTTATTTAGGTAGACTTCAAAATATAACGGAACAGATGTATTTTTATGCTAATTACATTGCGTGGCTATTTTACTGACACAAGCTTACTGAACCAACTTAAATACTTAAGTATGTAAACATAAGTGCAGTATGTTCAGAGCAGAATTAACTGTCATAAGTTGCTTGTCATTTGAATTTACTGTAAATGTACACATACTTTCTCTCATACTTTTTTTTGAATGTAATCTAATAACGCAGCCTGACTTGTTTGCACAGCCAGAATCTTCCTCTGACTCCTAAAACAAGAAATAAACAATACTATAATTGCCTGTAATTGTCATATAAAGCAACTATTTGTTTGTTGGAGTGCCGTGCGATACATTTTTGCTGTTGTAACTCCATTTCCTTGTGACTGTGTGATTGAGTAGGTCAGTTTTGTGATGGTGAATGGCTGTCATGCTCTTGTTTAGTTGTTTGGGGGGCGGGGCAATGGCGTGTCTAATTCAGGGTTTTCTTCAGGCTTGCTCTTGTGGTTTGAGAAGTGAGAACAATGAATGGGTCCTTTTCATGTCAGGAACTACTGAATCATATCAATGGTTTGTTCATCTAACAGGGCATTGTACACAAGTAACATCAGCATTAACTCCACTTACAGTTCCATTGATCCATTATTCAAATCAATCAAAGATTTTGATTGATTTTGAATAATGGATTGCAGCTTTTGTAACTCATTTGGATTTGGTGATTAAACTGGTTCTGTATATAATAATGTAATTCTGTATTTGGTTTGTTTTTCCATCAGGCTTTTCTAGGACTAAATGCTCTTTCCTTATGGTTATTGGAAGAATGGTTTTCCTGCTAAAACCTGTTGATGCAATGTTTTCATGTAAAAATGTTACCAGTCTTTTTTTTTGTTTTTGTTTTTTTTTCTCTCCTACGTGTGTCAGTTGATGGCCTGTGTATGGCCATGATTGTTTGCTCCTTTTTACACAGTCAACATGGGTCCATATGCGTAGGCTGCACTAGAATGCTTGTATGTTTTCTTCTGATTGCATTCAGATTGGTCAATGTGTGTAAATGTTCATTTAAAAAGTGGTGTTTATGTGGTTCTTGAGGCGACTCGTTTCATCGCTGCTACTTTAAGCAGCGTGATGGGCATAGGTCAGTGTGTTCACTTTGGGAAAAGGAGTTCTTGCCACAGTCGATGTGAAACTCCAAAAACAATAAATCGATGGGTGCCTTTTGTTTGTAAACCAAAAAAAGGAATAAACTGTTTAATCCTCTTCCTGATTAAGACTTTTTTTTAAATTTTGTAGTAGAGGAGTCGTCATCATCAGAGACTCAACCAGGGAATGGCAGCATGATTATCAGTGAAAACAAATGAAGCATTAGTCTCAATCTGTCCAGCTGGTAATGTCCCAAGGAGGATTATTAGTGCCCTGCCAATTTGGTGCCAGATCTAAAAGTCTAAAACTTTATTTTTGTGTTTTATTACATAAAAGCTATGAGAGATCAGTTAAAGCCAGTGACTGTAAACCCGTATAGGAACAGGTAATGTGATTACTGTTTCACATAAATGCTGTTGTCTGATCTGTTGCCCTCACTTGACTCTGGTTGCTAAGCAAACTGACACTGGAGATTGTGTCTGGGTATCGTTTATACTGGTAAGGGTTTGTTTCTCACTGCAAGTGAAGAGGCTGAGGAAAACGGTCATTAAACCTTTTTTTTTTTCTTCTTTTTTTTAGTTTCCTACTTCGATCATTATAAAATATGATAGTTATGAACATTTTGGTGGGTTACAACTAAAATGGAACACAAGAATCAGTAAAATTGGTTGTATGAACCAATAAAATCTCGTCTCTGCTAGAATGTAAAGTGGATTACATTTAAATAAAATAAACTAATTAGAGCAGTACATGTACAATATAAATATTTAATACAAACCTGGTAAACAGTTTATTTATTTAATACTGTATATTATGACAGTATAGAAATGGTAAATACACAGTAAATGTACTCACAGTACAAATGCATAGTTGCCAGGAAAATAAAAACCCATGTCATAGACAAAGCCCTGAATGTGAGCAAACAGGAAGAATTAGCTGATTTTGTCCATGAATGCCTCTTAGCGTGGCCTTGTCTGTAATTTCCAAACTAACTTTTTTTATTTATTTTTTTTGGTATCTTCCCAGCTCAAATTAATTGACTAATAACGAAAAGTGCTCCTGCTGATTTCCTGCTTTACATTAATAATTCATGGACATTAAATGCCTTCCGTCTCCTGATGCTCTGGAGTGAAGCCCAAGACAAATGCTTTGACATCGATCTGAGTTTGTGTGTGAGGGAGAAACTATCCGAATGTTTTTGATAGTTCCTCTGCAGCAACACAGACAGAAAAATGAAAACACGCAGTCACCCTTGACTGAATAGTCTGACAGCTGACCTCTCCATGTTTCCATTCAATATGTGGGTCATCAGATGCCAAAAGCACTCCTACACTGACGCCTCAGTACTTTATGCTCCTCTCTGCGACACCTGGCAACCGCTGCATGGCAACTGTGGCTCAGCAACCATGCCAAGCACTGAGTCACAACCAGCCGTGCACACCCAGTGGGGCCTGGGCCACTGGCCTGCATAAACAGGAACCAGGGGCTTACAGGGCTTAGAGTGGGTGCCCAGAGGCAGAAAACAAAAACACACACACTCACACAGGCTCTGTCCAAACGTCTACACTGAATATCTCTTAATGAATGTTTATGAGGGCTTTTTAGCACTTACAGTAATAGTCCGGTCATGGTTGTATACATAGCGGTCTGTTTTCCTACTTTATTGCCAACACAATGGTGATGAAATCTATAACCACTTTATCAAAGCTTTTAGATTTGTTGTTTTTACTGCCCCACAGAAAGTGATGCAATCAAATACATTGCTGGGTAGAAGTGGGAAGTAAGTATGACTAAAGATAGCTAGCAGATTTATAGCACAGAAACCAACCAGATACCAAAACAGAGTTTAAAAAAATAAGAGTGAATATTACTATACAGAGTGAAGATACTGTATTGCAGCTTTAAATTTGAGTGTTTTTACCATGATACATTTTCTAAAGGTGACCCAGAAAACCCATTTTTATCTGATTGTGAAAACCCCTGAATCATCATTTTGACCATCATGTAACCCATTATTTCCGCAGAGTAGCAGGGCATTATTACCAACACATCCTCTAAATGGAAGAGAAAGAGAAGTACCATGTCCACTGTATTTAACAAGTCTGAAAAGTTTAAAGGAGAAAACACACCAAAATACTGGCCCCACTCAACAAGTGACTATTGGAAATGTAGTCCAAAACACTATGACACAGATAAATGAATATAGTGTGGATAACTCCCCTAAAGACACAAGGATTTTTAAGGGGAAAGTCACCTGTATGATACCTGATACTGTTCCCTCAAACTTCTCTTGCTCTAAAGGGTAACACAGTTGCAGGAGCGTATCTGTTTTTTGGTATTGGGGGGGCTGCGGGGCTAAAGTCTAAAACTAGTGCAGTTTGTTTAAAAAGGCCTTTATTACATAAAAGCTATGAGAGATCAGGTAAAGCCAGTAACTGTAAACCCGTACAGGAACAGGTAATGTGATTACTGT